TATTCTGAGTATTTATTTCAGAAATTTACATGCCAAATTTGGCTTGTCTATGTTAAATAGTTTTCAAGTTATGGCTGAAAAACCAGCTCAAAGTATCGATATTTATCGTTATTATGAAGCTGGCAACGGTGATTGGAGAAAAAATATTATTTTAAGCTACAAGCGAAACGCAAGAATGTAAATTTCAACTTTCAAGTCCTTAGCTTTTGTAGTTCTCGAGATTGATGCATTCAGACAGAAGCATATACAGAATAAATATTAAGTCAACCCATCTCCTGCTGCTACTCTAGCATATATACACTCTATAGGTTCTGCCCACTTCAGCTTCTGCCCGTATACACCCATTGTCGCCATCAAGTCCAGGGTATATAATAGAAAAGTCCTGCAAATTAAATGCAAATTCGAGCATCTTTGTCAGTTGAGTTGCAAACTTCTCGTTGGCCCCGAAAAAGTTAGTTATCTTCAATTTTTATTACAATATTGGCGCTGATTAAAGACGAAGCAGCAGAAAGTTGAGCATGTGTTGGGGCCATTAACTTGGCTTGATATTTGCGCAATTCGTGAGCCACCTTCGTTTTGGCCATGTTTGGCATTTTGGCCATTTTGCACTTAGCTGCAGTTGAAGCATAAAATTGATTTTTAATTGAAAATTGTTTGCATATTTTGTGGCCGAGGCGGCGCCCCGCTGCGGGCCAAATTGAAAACGGCAAGGGGCGGCGGTTGCACTGAACTTTTAAAGTTGCTGTAACAACGTTGTCTAATTTGCTGCGGCCATTAGGCAAAAGCCAAAAGCAGTGGAGTGTCATCAATCAATATGCAGGAACCGGAGCAGCTGCAGGTGCAGGTGCAGGTGCAAATATCAAATCAAACCACACGCAGAACAAACAAAAATGGCATGCAACAGTAACGGCGCCATCAAATGTTGGCCAAAAAAGAAAGCCAATCCACACACTCGCACACACGTTGAACTAGGTCAGGCCTTTAACGGTGCTCGCTTGCAATTCGCCGCGCCAGAGGGCAGCCCCACGCGCCTCAGGCGACGCGCCACACGTTGTAACGGCAGAGGAGCATGCGCTTCTGCTACAAAGCAGCAGGCAGCAGGCAACGGGCATCGGGCATATGGCGCCCCTTCGGCGCAATTCGCCGCAGGCACGCAAATTCGCCGCAGGCCAATTTGCTTCCGTTATCAGCCCCTGCCGTTGTCGTTGTTGTTTGATTGTTTGCTGCAATTTCCCTTTTGAATATCAATTGCATTTTATTATGTGACCTTTTATTGCTGCGCTCTTGCTTTGCTGTTTGCAGTTTTTGGGTTTGCGGGTCTTTGGGTGCTTCGCTTGTGCATCGCGTGCCCGCAGGGCCCCCAGCAGCTGCCACAACAACAAGCAGCGACAGCGACAGCAGAACTTTTCTTTGCCGTTTGGCTTTGTCGAGCCGTGTCGTGTCCTGACATTTGCCAAAAACACAAAACTCAAAAAAAAAAAAAAAAAAAACAAAGCCACAGAAAAGCTCGTGCAGCGGTCGCCTGTGCCATGTCTCCTGTCTGCTGTCTCCTGTCTCCAGTCATAAACAGCGTGCCCTGCCCTGACTCGCGCCGCCCCGCCCCGCCCGTTACCTTGCGCCTGCCTTCTGGGCCATGTGCATGTAATTATTTTTGCGAAAAATATTTCAATGCAAATATTGTGGAAACTCCGCGCTGCTCCGCCTGCTCCAGCATAGTTTATGCACTTTTGCTTTTCGTTTGACAGCAATATATGCATGTGTATGAGCGAGTGGTTGGCTCAAGTTGTTGGTAAGCCGCCATTGAAGTTGGCCGCAAATTAATCAAAATTTTAAATTGTATTTGCCAAATGCCGCAATAATAAAACAACAATTTTGTATGCAAATTGATGTTGGAACAGTCGCAGCAGCAGAAGCAGCAGCAGCAGCAGCAGCAGAAAATGAGCAAACTTAATGGCCAACAAATTCGAAGTGAATTTTCTCAGCTAAATATTTACTTAACAACAGGCAAAAAGCCTTAACACAGTTAGCCAAAAACTCTTCAGCCAAAAGCCCACTCAACCCACGCGCAAAACGTATTTCCAATGGAGTGAGAGGCGCCCACATAGAGAGAAAGAGAGAGAGGGTGAGAGGTAGAGAGTTGACTCTGTCAAAACGATAATTACACTGTTTAACAAAACTAAGTTTTTTTTTTCGTTTGACTCTGAGAACTGCCTGAAGTCTTACCTAATCAAAGAGCCAACAATTTTGGCTTGAAAAATTTTTAATTCAGATTCAAATCAGTTTGGCATTTTCTAGCTTCTATCACAAACTGTTGGCTTGAGCTTTATAGCATAAATTGATCATGAATCGTCTAACGACTTCAGCTCAGCTGTGGCGCTAAGCCACATTCAGGCAAACTAGGAATTTTGTCAGTTCTAAAACTGAAACTTGGCGACTTGAGTGAGCGGCACTTGGCTTCAGCTAACAATACAGAATTCTGGCAGAGTTCCAGAACAATATTAGTGAGGGCATAACAGGGCATCAATTGAGGACAAATTGCCTAAATTTCAGCTTGCACTGAAAATTCAATCAAAAATTGAAGCAAATGCGAATTTTCAAAAATTATTCAGGACTATCTTTTCTGTACCCAGCAAAGTATTCTCACTACATATTATTTGCCATACTCAATGCTCTCAGTTTTTGTAATTCTTCTACAGCTTCGATGCCGTCTTAATCTCTCACGGACCTCTTCAGTTCTGAATAACTGGAGAGAGTCTAAGGCAGACGCTGGCTGCGGCATCATTAGTCTCAACAATTTATACAGCTGCGCATCTGACACAAGCAAATATCAAAAACATCCAAACAGAACAGCTATCAAATATGAGTACTCAAAATGGCCCAAACTGTGCTCATAAACGAGGGCTATAAGTAGAAAATTAAGGTACAAAGAATTTTCAATGGACAAATCGAAAGTCGCGATACTCTTTGAACACACCTCGCATCTGTTTATATGTATTATAAACCTTTAGGTTAATGTCAAAATTTCTTACCCACAAACTGAAAATCTACAGTAAAAGCTGCTCTCTGCCTCATATCACTTGACATTTGTGCCAAGCGCCTTGCTCTACAGTGTTATCAGAGACACATACAAACGCACACAGCACACACACACACACACATGTGTAGATACACACATTAATAGCAAATCACCGTCATTACATACCCTTGCCATATGCAGACAGCAATTGTATGCAGGCAGGGTATTTGCTAGTCGAGCTGGTCAAACTTCTTTGCCAATTTCAAGTCAAATTCGAGCTGCGAAAAAGGCGCAACGCATATTCTCGCGCGCTCTGCAACTTTTGCGTTAACATTATTTTATTTAATTAGGCAAATGTATGCAAACCCACCCACACACACACACACACACACACACACATAGTAAAAAGTAGCACAACACATGTTGTTGTAATTACAACGAAGTTTAATAAAGATGCCTGTGCGAGTGCCGCTGCCTCCGCCTCTGCCTCTGCCTCCACCTACAGTGCGTATAATTGTAAATATGCTTTAAGCACATTGTGTATGTGTGCGTGTGTGTGTGCGCAAAGGTAGCAATGTATTTTAATTGTTGCCCATAAAACTTTAAAGGCATTCATTTTGAAAAATTAACTACCTAAGTTGAGGCACAAGTGTGCTTTAGCGTATACCGAATTGAACGAAATTCCGACGAGCCAAACGAGCTTCGATATTTTTTAGAATTATTCAAATTTACTTCTCAGCAAACTAGGCAGGCATATGGCTAATCTGTATAGAAAATATGAATTGCTTTCATATTGCATTCATATCAAAAATCGAAGTAAAACTGATTTTTGGTAAGACTGTTCCAGTGGGAAGTGTCCGACTGGGTGGTGCTGGGTGTTACCCCAAAATCCAGCACAGAACTCATATTATTATCATTCTAAGATTCGTTTATACATGCAGACACATACACATGCACGCACACATACATAAGCAAACACTCTTTAGCAGAGCCTGCGCTAAGGCTGCGCTTGGACTGCGCTCATGGGCTTTACTATGGCAAGTTACCAATTAAATAATCTGTGTATCAGAGACACTGTCTTAGTTAACAGATGCCAATGAAAACCTGCAGATGTCTGCAATTGCCAAAGCGTAAGTCTCTACTATTTCAAATGAAATTTAATTCAATTTTCAGCGAATGGGACAAAGATAAAATACGAATTCTTCAAAATCTATCATCACTGGCTAAATTGAATAGTAAATAAATCATAGTAAATTTAAAATTTTTCATTCTTTGGTGGTATGCCAGCTAAGCTTAAAAAGGATTTCAAATTATAGACTAATATCGATAATAATTAATTAGGATAAGTAATCGATAAATATGATAGTTGATTTGATATACAATAAGATGCATATAAATTGTCAAGTCTCTAGCTTTTATGGCTTAAGCGAACAGACGCTCAGACTCAGACCGAACTGACAGATGGACACACAGAGACAGAACGGATGAACAGACGGATGGACGGAGGGAAAAACGAACAGTTGTGGACAATCGAACGAGTAGACTAGATCAACTCAGCTCGTCATCTTGATAAGGAATATATATTAGAGAGTCTGCCGCTCCTGCTTCTGCCTTTTACAAGCATTTTTTCCCAGAACTATTCTAATTATTATAATTTAAAATCTACTCAATATTTGAAGTAAACATATATTCTAGTTAATCAGCTGTGAGCACTCAAGAACTGTTTTCAATTATAACAAAATTATACAACTTAAACATTTATAGCTCTAAATTATATGATAACTAATCTATATTCAACTTCTATATATATATATATATATATATATATATACATATATATATAGATTTAACACCGACTTCAACTCACTTAAATTCGTTTAAGCAAACAACAATTGTAACTTGATTTTGATAATACTTTTTCTTTATTAATATTTTTTATTGAATTTGTGTTTTATACATTTTTTTTTTGTTTTTTTTTTTCTCTTCTTTTTTGCATTATTTATAATATATATTTGTTTATATATATTTATATATATAATTAATTCTCCCGCATATCCTTCTCCATGATACAGTTCACCCACAAATACATGTTTTCTTCCGCTTGTAAATATGATATACAATAAAAATGTCTATACAATTAAGGATACAAAAGTCGGTTAAGTTTAAGGCTTAAACTATAAGTTATGTCTTCCAGTAATTAAGAATAGCTAGTTTCTCCTCTTCTTCTTCTGCTTCTGATTTTAGATTGAAGTACAAATCATAGTAGGAGTAATTAATGTAGGCGTCTATATAGTACAATATTAAATCGTACGATCTGAAATCACTTGAACTTAGGCTTAGGCAAAGCAAAAAGCAGTTCAAAAAAACTCAAGTAAAAGCAAAAATAAAATTCCCAAAATCATTGTCAAAACTACAAATTTGCTAAGCGCTTTCTCTGTCTCTCTCTCTGTGTTTTTCGCTAAATATATTGAAGGCAATGTAAAAATTGATTTACTCAGTTTTGTAAAAGGCCAAATAATATGCATTTGATATCTCAATACACGAGTCAAACTTTAGCTTCCACAAAGTTTTTCACTTGCTGCAATCGTCACTTAAACTGGGCCAGAAATATCTTCTCAGATATCAAAATATCTTCTCAAATCAATATCAAAGTTGTACAATTTCAAGCCTTGGCTTTCTCTTACTACTATTTCTCTGCTCAAAAAAACCTTTTTGAAATGTTCGAAAATCTTTATATGTCAAGAAGTTATCAGCTGCTGAAGAAGACTTGATGGTAGTGAGCGCAGGAAGAAGGTGATGTGGGTTTCAGTTGGTTAGTAAATTCAATAGATGATATTTCAGTGATATAGAAAGACTTTAAAACATTTCAGTAACTAGTCGCAGCTGAGAAGTTACCATATTTATAGCAGCTTGAATGCTTTGCATCTTCGTCCTCATAAGCCCTAGTTTCGTGGACAGCCAGTCAAAGACCTTCTGGAAAGTATTGCCTGCTGCTTGATTATGAAATTTCCTTCAATTTTGTTGGCCTGTGTAATAATATTATTTGCTTGTAGGCATAATGAATGTTCCTGCCTCAATCATAGTTTTGAGCATTACGCATATTCCACTATCTCTTACTCGTCTCACGCTTATCAAACGTTCCATGTCCCCGAATGTACTCATATAATCAGCATAACGTACATCTTTATATATATATATCATAGGTATAAATTTGTGTGTCATAAATATGTTTATCTTTTCTTTTTGATTAGCTAAATGGAAATAACTTTTAAGTTTGCGTGTGAGTGTGTGTGGCTGTGTGTGTGTGTGTGTATATATACATCAAAATATTTGCATATTGGCATTTATGTCTTGTATAATTGTCAAAAAGGTAAACGAAAGAAATTTAGCTACCTCCGCTATTGCTTGCACTTGAACTTAAAAATCAATCAAAAAATACTTTAGCACTTGCTGACCGCTGTGCGCCTGATCAGATCTTACTTTGATCTAAAACTCTCTCTCTCTCTCTCTCTCTCGCTCTCTCTCCGTTCTGGTATCACTTTACCCAGGCGCACTTCTGTGGCCAGTTGTCTAAGCAAACGAGCCGCGCAAAGCCTTAATCTATATATATTTTATACAATGTTTCATTGTTGTTTTCTTGTTTTTGTTTCAATATGTTTGAGTTGGTTTTGGATATTGTTAAACGCCTTTCTCGCCCTCGTCCAGTAAGGTCGCTTCTCTTCCATTCAGCGCTGCCGTTGTTAACGCACTCGCGATGTGGGTCTGCAAGGCAAAGAAGTTGGAATTAGCAATGTCTGCAGCAGTTTAAAATTACATGATTTGTGGCTATTGAATAACGAAATTGGCGCTGAATTGCATTTGACTGAGATGTGATTTGAGCTACTTTATTAGACAAATTTCCTTTATTCTTGTAATGCTGCCTGTTGCTGAAAATCTACTTCTGTCATCTCATTTGGAATGCGTCAAGAAACTCTATTCTTGGTGTTATTTTAATATTTGCAATATTATTGAGAAAAGTTCTTGCAATGAATGGATCTAACTACTGATCGAACTTGTTGCTGAATTTGGCTGCTGAATTTTAGCTGCTGAATTTTGGCTGATAAATCTCACAGCTGAATTTAGACTGCTGAATTTAGTTGCTGAATTTGGCCTGCTGAATTTTGCCTAGGGAATTTTAACAATTGAATCTGACAGCTGAATTTGGCTGCTGAATTTGCTGCTGAATTTAGTTGCTGAATTTAGTTGCTGAATTTTAGATGCTAAATTTTGACTACTAAATTTGAAAGCTGAATTTATTTGCTGAATTTTATTGTTGATTTTGTTGGTGAATTAGGCCTGCTGAATTTTGGCTGGGGAATTTTAACAATTGAATCTGACAGCTGAATTTGGCTGCTGAATTTGCTGATGAATTTAGTTGCTGAACTTAGTTGCTGAATTTAAATTGCTAAATATTCACTGCTAAATTTGTGTGCTGAATTCTTAATTCAGCAAAACTGCTGAATGTGATTGCTGAGTTTTGGCTACTAAATTTCATAGCTGAATTTAAGACTGAAATTCGAGGAACTCAAATGCTAATCTCAAACGTAAACTTGGAAGATCTTGTGATCTAACTGCCGATCAATTTGACATTTGGTTGCTGAACTTGGCTGCTGAATGTGGCTAGAACTGCATCTGCCTTTCGGAAATCTTACAAACATTTAGCTAACAGACTTTCGCTTCTGCTTGATTAATTCAGACATCGCATTTCCTCAACGATCTGCAATGATCTGCAGCTGCCTTCTCGTTATAGAACCGCCTCCTGCTCATACCTGGACGTTGCTGCAGCACTTTGACGCTTGGGTGTATTTGGAGCCGTGACTGCGGGTGCGGCTGCGCGTGTGGCTGTGGGTGTGCGCGCACGTCCAGCCGTCGGCGTGGCTGATGAAGTGGGCGTGGTGGCCAGGCTGTAGCGCTTCGGCTGCACAATGCGACTGGGAGATCGGGTGCTGCACTTGCCACTGCTGGCCGCATCGTGCACGCCGCTGACTCTGCAGATTTGTGGAGAGATAACATTAGCTGGCGAATTTCTGTTACTTTTACTGACAGCCGGCGTTGTGGCACTTGGCTTCGGACTTCTGTCATCAGTTTACAAAAAACACAAACATTAATCATGCCAAATGATAGATGTTCAAATGAAAAACAAAGAAGAAGAAATCAAATTTAGCGAAAATATTCAAAAACCAAAAACTGCGAAAACAAATTCAGTGTCTGTCGTTCGCTTGGACTCACCTGCCCGCTGGGTAGCTGACTGGGCGCGGTATGCGCGACTTTTGCGCTGAGTTGGAATTGGCTGAGTTCGTCGAGGTAGGCGTGGAGCCACCGCTCTTGGTGGCCTGCTCGCTGGCCAGCTCTTTGAGCATGCTCGAGTCCTTGCTCATGAGCTCCCACTGGATCTGCAGACGCTTGAAGCGATTGCTCTCGATCTTGCGCTGCTCCTGCACGTCGAGCGTGTCGCGTCGCTGCAGCGCAGCTATGGAAATGTTTGGCGAATTCGGCGGCGTCGTAAAGCGCTTCGCCTGCAGCTGCTGCAGCTCAGCCTCACAGTTGGCCACATCGTTGAAGGAGACCTTCTTCTGCTGGCTGAGCACTCGGCTCACCTCCTTCTTCAGTGCCGCCGCATCGTACTGCACCTGCTCGCCGGAAGACTCTAGAATCGCCGCTATCTCCGCGTAATACTTCAGCTCCGAGCGAGGCAACGAGGCCAAAAAGTTTTCAGCTCGAGCCCGCGCGTCCAGATCCTTGCGAGAAAGTCGCTGTTTGGTTGGCTGCGTTGGGTTGACTGACTGCTGCTGCTGCTGGTGCTCCTCCTCCTCGAAGACCTCGGCTAGTTCGTCTGTGGAGCCCAGAGCGTAGTTGTAGGGCGGCTCCTGCAGGCTGCGTCGCTTCTCCAGCTTCGACAACTGCTGCGTCTGCTTGGCCTCAATCATGGAATTGCGTTTTGTGCGCATCTGCGCTGAGTTCGCCTTGCGCAGGATGCTGCGCGGCATCGGCTGCGGCCGACTGGCTGGACTCGTCTCCACGCCCGAGTCCATGCGCTGCTGCTCATATTGGTAGACATACATCTGCTTCAACGGGTCCGCGTCCACCTCCGAATCGGTGAGCAGCGTCGAGGAGCCACGATAGCCCGAGCTGGGCGGCTGACTAGAGCCCGAGCTGGACGCCTCGTCCAGCTGAGTCTGCTGGAAGTTCTTGGCGCAGTCGCAAATGCTCGCTCGACTGCGCCGTATCGGCGGCGACATGCAGAAGAGTGGACGCTGCGACAGCTCCGCGTCCAACTGACTCGCAATCTGACGCACCTCAGGAATGTGTTGCAGGCGCCGCCGGTACTCCGCGGGCAGCAGCGTCACCAGCGACTGCCAATCCGAAATGTGCTTGTAATCCAGCGTCTTGAACAGCTCATTTTCATGCGCACTTTGGCTGCTGCGCTGCTTTCTCAGGGAGCCCGTCGAGGTGGCACCGACGCCGGCGCTATCCAGCGTCATCTTGTAGTTGAAGGGCGTGAAGATGACGTCGGTGCTGCTGCTGCTGGTCTTGACGAAGCCCAGATCGGGCAGCGCGTAGTTCGGATAGATCACGTAGATGGGCGCCTCGCACTGCTCGCCCAAATTGTGCAGCTTGGCCAGAAACGAGGGCGGCACGCATCGATAGCGTTCGCTCAGGCTGCTGTGCGTTGTGCTCAGCGAGCCGCAAGATGTCTGAATGGAGCGCGTGATCATCTCTGAGCTGGAGGCGCACGACAGGGGCCGATTGCTGGACCCACGCCGTGCCTTAGCCCCAGCCATTGGCACCTCGGTCAACTGCTCCGAGTTGCTGGCCTCCGACGACTGTTGGCTGCACTGCGTCTGCGTCTGCATCTGCGTTTGGGTCTGCGCTTGGGTCTGCGAGTTGGCCGCCAGCTGATAGAGCTGCGGATTGCGCAAGGGCATGCTGCGGCGACGATGTGCCGGCGAATTGGTGGCCGTCAGCGAGCCCGTCGAGCTGGAGCTGGCGCCGTCGTCATAGAACAGCGCCTCGCAGCGCGCGCGCAGCTGCCGCTTCGGCGTGGCGGCTGTCTCGGCATCCTCGTAGTTCTCCTCCTCGTCGTGGCGACTCACAGCGGAGCCCTTGCCCGAGTCGTGCATGCTCTTCTTGCGCAGCCGCTTCTCCAGCGAGCCACTGCTGCAGCTGGAGACGGCGGCGTCGCTTGACGGCCAGCAGCCCGAGGAGACGTCCATGCAGGTGAGCGCGCAGGCCTGGTTCTCCTCCTGGGCGCAGCTGTTGCTGTTGCTGCTGCTGCTGTTGTTGCTCTTCTGCTTGATGAACAGCTTGACTAGATTGAACGCGGCCGGATTTGAGTTGCCCGACGAGGCGGAGCCGCAGCCAGACCCGGAGCCAGAGCCAGAGCCAGAGCCAGAGCCAGAGCCATGCGAAGCATTAGAGCAAAAGTTCTGACTGCCTTGAGTGGAGGACAGTGCGCAGCCGCAGCGATGCTTGTGGCGATGCTGATGCGAGTGCGAGTGCGAATGATGATGATGCTGATGCTGATGCTGATGCTGCTGCTGCTGCTGTTGATGCTGTGGCGTCGGCGTGGGCGTGCCATCATTGAGCTGCTCGTCCGTCTGCTGCAGACGCTCCGATATAGACTCGCTGATTGAGATCGGCATCTGGCACATGGGCAGCAAATTTCTGGAGCGCGATGTGCACGATTCCATTGTTGAAGTACTTATCGCCTGCGAGACATTCAAGGGCCCAGAATGATCTGACTCCGGTTTATCCTGCTGCAGCTGCTGCTGCTGCTGCAGGTCCTCGCTCAGCATCATCTCAATATGTAAATTTGGTAGACTGTTGCTCTTGCGTACGCTGCATTGCGGCAAATGGCGTGTGAGTATGATGGTTTCTCCGAGGCAGCCTCCGCCGCCGCCTCCTCCATTGTTGTTGTTGCCCGAGGGATACCTGCGTGCGGGCGAAACAAGAAGAAGCGAGCGTCTTTACACAGCGCAGACACATCAAACATTTCACATTATAATTTGTTGTCTTTGTCGGAAAGTTTGCAAATTGGTTTTTGACTCTAGCCAACGCCGTTCGGCTACCTGCTGGCGCCTGCATCTTAAGGTTTTTCTAATCGACTTTTGGTTTTCCTTTTTTTTTGGTATTGCGAGTTGAACGGTTTGTCCCAGTTGAGATCTGCTCAGTTGGACATGCCGCTCGCTGCCAAGCATCAATTTGCTTGCCATGAATATAAAACTTAATTGAAATAAATTGAAATGACCTCTCGACGCGGCCTGCATTCGCTGCAAAGCGCGAAAAAAGGGGACAGCGCCAAGTGGGTTTACTCAGACATCCGCAGTGCGTTGCTCGACAGTCAAAAACCAATCAAAGGGAATGTGTGTGGTGTGTGTGAGTGTGTGAGTGTGTGAGTGTGTGTAGTGTGTTTAGTGTGCTGTGAGCGGGTGTGTTTTAATGTGCACTTACAGTGAACTCTCTATGAACGAACAGCTCTAGCAACTAACAAAACTTTGATGCAAATTGACTTAATATATTATTAAAAATATATTATATATTAAAAATATATTTATTAAAAATATATTAATCAATATATTAAACTCCCATTATATATATATGGTTTATGGCTAACTATGTTTACTTTAAGCCTGAACTAGCTTATAAATTGTTGACCTGTCTATTAATATGTGTTTACACAGGCCAACAGAATTTGTTAATCACAGACTTTACTTTCTCTATATTTTTCGACATGTTGAAAGCGTATCTACAACTAAAGTAGCCTTATCTTTTCAGAATTTTAAGATATTGTATCCTATACTTGGACATATTTGACGTGCAATACAAATTGTATTTCCAAAGAGAACCTAAGGGTATCTAGGAGCAATACTCATACTATATATCTCCAGCTACCCTTTAAAATAGCTATCAATTCTTTATATGCTTCCAAGTTGTCCTCTGATTAACGAGAATAAATGAGTAAGCATCGAGAGTGGTCTTTAGCTAGCACTGTAAAGCTCAAAATATTTATTTCAAAACTCCTTTAAATCGTTATCAAAATATTGATCTTTCGCTAAGATATATCGTATTAGTTTAGCAGTTTCTCTGCCTAAATCTTATACCCCACTTCCTCTACCTTACACCCTCTATATACTCTATCCTCTATCCTTTACCTTCTACACTCTACTCTACACCCTACACCCTACACCCTACACCCTACACCCTGCTTCCTAGTCATAGAACTGCAAGCTGCACTAAGTAGCCAAGCCCAGGTCGGCCACACCCTAGCAGTTTTCCCACTGTCCACTCATAGCAGTTAACACTGTACGTGCAAGTGTTTCAGTGTTGGTTTCCATTGCCATTCCATCCTCACCGCTGTAGTTGAGCTTTAGTCGGTGTCTTCGGCGACTTGCTGGGCAGCTGAAAAGATTGGGCCGAGCGTGACATGGATACCTCCAGGGCCTTGTTGCGCTTAACAATATCGTCCAGGTTGCTGTGCAGATTGATGCAGTTTTGTTTGTTCCTGGCGGCAATGTCGCAGGGCTCCGCTGTGAAGAGACAGAGAATGCAATGATCATCGTAGTCAGAGTAAAATATGCCAGCTAAGCACTTACCGTAGAAACTGTCGTCTGAGTAGAGAACGCTGCCCTCGAAAGCGATTGTATAGTTGTCCTTGTTGCAGGTGAATATGATGTCGCCCTCGTCCGGGTAGGCATCCATGTCGAGCGAGTCCACCGATATGTGCGACTCTTTGACGGGCGAGAAGAGCAGCTCCGATTTGCAAAATGAATTGTCAATTAGCTCGTTCGTAGAGGTGGTCGATGTCTGCGACATGTTGTGCGCCATGTGCTGCATGTTGCTCATCATATTGCTGTGTTGCAGCTGCAGCTGCAATTGCTGTTGTTGCTGCTGCTGCTGTTGCTGGTGTTGCTGCTGGAAGAGCAGCGATTGCTGCAGGCGACTGTTCGCGCCGCCCAAACTCTTGCAATAGGCGGGCAGCTGGGAGAGCAGCGAGTGTATGTCCTCTGCCCGAAAGCTTTCCATATCCACCTCGGCCAGATTGGCGTCCAGATTCTTCAGATCCTCATAGTATATGAAGTCGCCCATTGCATTGTAAGACGCCGACAGCGAGCTGAGCACGCTGCGCTGCATGCCACCGCAGCCATCCCGATAGCCGTAGTCGAGAAACCACTGATAATCGGAATTGTCGTGAGTAAAGTCTTGCGAGGAAGCCAGCGAGCAGTTGAGATTGTTGCCACCACCGACGCCACTGACGCCACCAACACCACTAATACCACCACCACCACAAAGCATTCCACCTACCCCAAGCTGCTGTTGCTGCTGCTGCTGCTGCTGCGATCCCGGCGTTGTTGCATTGCTGTTGTAATCGGACTCGGGCGTGACAACTGCTGCCATATTTGTTGCCGCCATTGCGTTGCTCTTCACGAAGTTGTTGTTGTCGAGCTCAAGAGTGTTGTCGAGCAGAAAGAGGCTGTCGCTGCTGCTGCTAATGTTGTTCACCTGCTCATTCAATATGATGCTGCGCAACGCGCTGTTATAGCGATCCAGGTTGCTCAGGACAATGGCAACATTCTGCTTGAGGCTCTCATCGCTCAGTTCCTCGTTGCACTGCTGCTGCTGCTGTTGCTGCTGGCAGTACTGCAAGTGTTGCTGCTGCAGCAGGCGGTCGTTCAGCTGCTGCTGCTTGTAGCGCTGCTTACCTGCCGTCACATGGGCTAGCGTGAACAGCGAGTTGTTCGGACTATTCAACGGGATGCGATAATGCTGCGGGGACTGTGGAGCCGAGCCTGGGCCGCTGGCGTTGGCCAAACTTGTATTGAATGCAGCCGTGTTGCTGTTGTGTTGCTTACCGCCGACTCTCAACGATTGCTGCTGCTGTTGCTGCTGCTGCTGCTGCTGTGTTAAGCGTGAATTCAAAGTGATTTGCGTTTGATTTATATTAGTTTTGGCATATGATTTGTGAGTTGTGGGTGAACTTTGTGGCGAAGTGAATGGATGTTCGATATGGCGTTTGATGTTGCTGATATTGTTGATGTCGTTTATTGTTGAGATGTCTGTCATGCCACGTCGCAAATGTGTACCTGCAACAGAGCAAACAAAGCACAGATTATATATTATGTAAGCCACGTTTTACTGACCAAATTAGAGCTATGATAAAGGGACTTCAAATTTCAGATATTAAATTGTATCTAGTTTTTGTAGAACCTATATCCATGACATTATGTGTGTAGTAGGATATCATTATAATGGGCAATAAATTTTAGATGAATCAGTTCAATATGTGGACTCTGTGGCCAAACCGAATTCATTGACTCTACTGCGTCCACTTTCAATCTGATTGCCATGTCATCTATATTTATCTATTCTTATCCCTATCCCTATCCCTATCCGTATCCCTATCCCTATCCCTATCCCTATCCCTATCCCTATCCCCATCCCTATCCGTATCCCTATCCCTATCCCTATCCCTATCCCTATACCTATCCCTATCCCTATACCTATCCCTATCCCTATCCCTATCCCTATCCCTATCCCTATCCCTATCCCTATCCCTATCCCTATCCCTATCTCTATCTCTATCTCTATCTCTATCTCTATCTCTATCTCTATCTCTATCTCTATCTCTATCTCTATCTCTATCTCTATCTCTATCCCTTCCATATCCCTATCCGTATCCCTCCATATCCTCATCTCTATCCATTATGATCCTGATTAAATAGCAAATATTATTGATTACTTCAACAGCTGAATATTATCGATAACTTAAACAGCTGTTCTCGCATAGTTATCGGAAATAGTATCACTCTCGCTTGTATTTAATAGAAAAATGTAGCTGAAATTGATTTTATAGTTTCCAAATCTGAGTCAATTATGCGCATTAGCATGCCACACGTTGCTCTGCTCGGCACCCTCCATCAATTAGCTTCTTTGAGCATAACAATTCTGGCAGCTAATGAAAAGCAGCTTTTACGACTCAGCAGCGTCGACATCTGCCCTGACAGACAAGATGACCCAGGCCTAGGGAAACGCAACTTGCCTCGGTTTTCTGTCAGCTAAATACGGAGCAAGTTCTGTGGCATTCAGAGCGTTGCACATGCAACTGCAGTCGCAGCAAAGTCAATTAGAGCAGCCAGGTGAAAGACGAAGACTTGCGTGACACGAGGCGATTTCTATTTCTAGAAGCCAGCGACAGCAACTCAATCGAACTGCAATACTTTTCTGCTTAATAAAGATATATAGAACACAAAACTGCATTATTATATAACTTCAATAAGGTATCTCGTGCGCTGAGAACATTTGATGAGCTGTGTAGATAAGTCAGAGCCAATCGCTGACATTTTCAAAGAAAAGATTGAGCAAAAGTTGAGCTCGACTAAAAGATACGTAACAATCATTCTAGACTTATTCCAAATGCATATATGTGCAGAAAGAGATACACACCCACACACATGCTTGAGCTGCCTACAGCTACCCGCAGTAAGAAATAGCTTGATTGAACTGAGCTTCTGTTTGAGCGAGTTTAATGAAATTTAATGAGCATAAAACTGATTAACTAATGTTTGTGTATACCAAAGAGCAAGACATTAAAATTAAACTAGGAATTTTTCTTAGTAGTAGAGCTCATTCTGCGAGATATGCAAATAAGAACATATTATTTATCTATGTGTTCATTAAAATAAGCTACATATCAAATTTGGTTTCTTTAGCTACAAGTTAGGCAGCAAAGATCTATGGCAAATATCGATTTTTATCGATAACTAAGTTGTTGAGTTATTCAAAAAAAACGATAAGCTTCTATTGCAGTTGCTCAGCAAGTCAATCTAGTTAAAGTTATAAGACTTTCGCCTATGTATTGACGTATATAACTAGATACACTAGATAGATTGATCATCCGGAAGCACACATAGATAAACGATAGATGCCATGACTTCTTCCGTCTGCTACATACATTTATTAAAAGTGTCGGCAATGCCCGACTAGCAAATACCCCGAACCCTCGCGGACTTGACTCAGTTCCTCGTCTGTATCAAAAATATATGCGTTGTGCACTCTGCCACGCCTACTTCTGTCTGTTGCACTCATGTATAGTCAGAATGGGCATTTTCAATGTGTATAAATATTAAGCTCCTATATGGATAGCATCAATACAAGTGAGTTTTATGACTGCAGTCAACTGCAGTTGAGGCTCGACAATAATTAACTGAGCAGCAGTTCATATGAGCTGCACTTGATTGTGATTAAAGTCAATTATGCTTCAATTGAAGAAAGTCTCAAGGGAGTCAGTCCCACGAGCTCGTTGACTAAAGTAAATTTGAGCAAGAAATAATAATATTGGCCGAGCTCTTTGGCTGAGCAAATTATTTGTAGAGGCCCAGAGAAACAAGTTCAAAGGCAAACAAACAATTAAATTAAAGTTGACTTAAAGACAAAGAGTTAAGACTGAGACTGCGCACCTTGAGCCACACTGGGGCCAATACAATTGTTGTTATTTAGATTGTAGTTTTTGTCCTGTTCATTGTTGTTGTTCCTGTTCCAGTTGTTGTTGTTGTTGTTATAGTTGGCAACATATTGTTGCTGCTGCTGTCTTTGCTGCATCAAATATTGCTGGTTACAGGTGAGTCCAGCGCTGGTTGTTGTTGCTTTGCTTACGTTTACACCCTGTTCACGTAGCTGCTGCTGCAAACGACGCCGCTGCAACAATTGCTGTTGCAGCAATTGCAATTGTTGCTGCTGCATACATTGATAGTAGCGTAGCTGCTGCACTTGCTGTTGTGTCAAGCCTTTGCTGTTGTAATATTTTTGCTGCTGCTGTTGCTGTTGCTGTTGCTGTTGCTGCGGTGCATAGTAGTTCTCCTTGGAGGAGCTGCTGCTATCACAGCCGCTACTAGTGCTGCTGCTGTTGCTTGTGCCAGTCACATGTTGCCAGCACTGCGTGTTGCCATTGGCATCAGTATTTGAGTTGTTGTTGTTGTTGTGGCTGCGCGGGCATTCAATACCAGCGCTGGCACACGATGTGCAGCGTTGGCGCCGTTGCATTTTGGAAATGTCTACGTATCTCATAATGAAAGCAAGTAAAAGCAACAACATCGAGTCGCAAAAGTGCTACTCAAATGTTGCTGCAGCAAATGTTGCCTGTTGCTATTGCAGTCGTAGTGGCAACGTTGCTATTCAAATGTTGCTTCGACAAATGCTGCCAGCTGCTGCTCGTCAAATGTTGCCGCAGCAAATGTTGCCAGCTGTTGGTGTTCTCGTGTTAAAACTGCTCATCAAATGTTGCCGAAACAAATGTTGCCAGCTATTATAGTTATAGTTGCTGGCGCTATAGCAACATTAAATGTTGCCAGTGTTTGTCTTTGTTTCTTTGGTCAAAGTTCTCAGCAAATGTTGCTACGCCATATATTGCCTGCTTTTGTTGCTAGTGCCGCTACGACAAATGTTGCCAGCTTTCTGGCAACTTTGCTCAGATGTTGCTGCTGTCTGTGTAGCTTATCGAATGTTGCCTGCTATTGTCGTTGCCAAATGTTGCCGCAGCTAATGTTGCCCGCTGCTGCTGTTGTCGCAGCTTTTGTTGCTGCTGGCGTTGATTTTATTTTTGGTATATTGACTCTTTGTTACGAGGGACCAACGCAGTCTCAGGGACAAAAGACCCAATCGATGTGTCTTTGATCGCTACTTCACTTGTTGCCAACTTGCTTGGCGCTGTTCTTATTTATAGTTATAGTTTTTCACTCTCTCTTTTTAAGGGTTCATTCCATTGATCGGATTCACACATTTGCTATATAAAATTTGTTTTTGTTTTCTGACGACGACGACGACGACGACGCTTTGACTCTGCTTTTCACACTGCACTTTTTGATTTTGATTTTGATTTCTTGGTACTTTTTCTATTTTTAAATATTTTTGTTTTGCTTCCAATGCGTAAGTTTCTCAACACCAACTACACTCACATGTGTGTGTGTGTGCCTGTGTTTTGTGTGTACAGTCACAAAGTTCTCTATATACATAGATATTTATTTATATTTTGTTTTCATTCGGCTGCGCGTATAGAAATTATATTTATGAGTTTTCTGCCAGAAGCAAATTATGCATTCAGTTTTTAGTATACAATTTCGACCCATAGCCCAAATGGAGCCCACAGAGCTTGGGCCAAACTTGCATTGAGGTCAGCTGCCATTCGAGTCCTTGCTTTTGGGTCTTAGCCCACTTTGCCAACTTGCCAAACGGAAATGAAATTCTACTTCACTCGGCGTGCAGTGCAACCAAATCTATTTCAAATCCGACAGTCGCAGGGGTATATATAGTAGCTATATACAGGCCTCACGGACATCTAAACCAACTCACATACTTGTGCACATCGTTGCGCGAATATCGCCCAAATCGTGTGCCAACAAACCAGGTGTTTGACATTTTTGTTGACTGACATAAGCAAGAGCTAGAGATATATATATTTATATAATAATATATACAGTCATATGTATATGTGCATCTATACATAGGTACATTTGAAGGCACAGATATGTCCAGAGACACGCCCAGTGGCCACAGGAGCAGACAAAGGAACATTTCAGACAACGACGCAAAAACTTAACTCGTAAAAATCCCGTAAATGCAGCAAAGAAAACTGGAAGAAAAACCCAACTACAACAAGGAAAACCAAATCGAATACTGAAGAACTCTCGCTGTCTCTCTCTCTCTTTTTTAACAAGGACTCAGCTCATTATATGTGAGGCAGCAGCAGCAGCACCCGCAGCAGCACCCGCAGCAGCAGCAGCAGCTACTGAGGCAGCAGCAAAATGGCTGCCAAAGCTATATAAACGCTGCACTGTGGGCCAAATAGCTAAAATGTTGCTAATATTTCTATAGGTGCAACTAATGAGCAGGTGCAAATATGCTAAATATATTTGCAATAAATTTTTTACTTCTTCAGATCTAGTCCCAGAATTGCTAAAGTTGATGTGATATGATATGATATATGGTATGATAAGAACTGATACTGATATATGGCATTATAAATTCTGATATGAAATGATATGATGCAGTCTGATATGATATGATATATGATGTGATATGATATGATTTGGTATGATCTAATATAATATGAAATGATATGATATATGGTATGATCTGATATGATCTGATACTTTAGCTTTTGTATTTTTATACCTAGCACAAAGCACAAGTCTAAGATAAAGTTGATAACAAACTTAGAAAATCTTAAAATATTTTCTGGAAGTTTTTGAATTCAAAATTCAATTTAAATTCATTTTAAAGTTAAATGTAAAATCAGTTTTAAGTCCAACAAAGTAATTCGTCAAGAATATCAGAAAAGTATTTGATATCTATGCTAGTTAGCGGTAGCTAGATAATTGCTGTAGCTAACTGTGGTAAATATTTAAAATAAGTCTCTACTTGCTATGCTAAACAGTTAAAGTCGATAGAAAGTTGTTATAGAGAGCTATGATAGACAGTGGATGAACTTAACTATTTTAAATAGTTATAGTATCAAGTTGTGCTATGATTATATATGCTAGCATATGATAGATATTTCCGATAGATAGCTAAGCTAAACAGTTCTCATAGATAGATAAAACAAGCAGCTTAAAAAGTGCGCCAAGTGAAGCTATCTAGGTTTATAGATTATATATTTATAATATAAGCCTTCCACAGAAAATTCAATAAACTTTATCACAAAAAAACAGTTTATTCCATATTCAATTTGCTTTCTAGACAGCTTAAAATTTGCAAATTTATAAACAACATTTTGCCTTTTCTAGCCCACAGTGCAAAGTGGCAGCCCTTGCCAGGCCAGAGCAGCAGAAGTTTAGATTAACTGGCTGGCAAGCAGCCAAAACGAGGCAACGAGGAACGAGGAAGCAGTTCGGGCTGCTCGGCTGGCTAAGGGTGCTGAATGTCCAAAGCAAAACAACTTAAAAAACATTTTAGCGCACGCAATCGATAAATACATTTGCCAGCCACAAATCGTTTTGCCTTCCTTTGCCAATCATAAACAAGAGCATTTAGCCATGGCCCCAACACCTTCAGCCAGAGCCAGAGGCAGAGGCAAAGGCAAAGATCAAGCTGTAAATAGATATTGGACGCAGCACACCCAACTCGTGGTAATTAAAAACATGATATGCACATGTGCACCTTAAGTTCAATCACATTTCGAAATGTGATTTTATCCTCTGTGTTTTTTATATGTTACATCTGGCCGAACTTTAGCAGACGGCAACTGGCGGAGCTGCTCGCATTCTATGCTCTATAGAATAATAGAAAAAGCATTTTGTAGTTCAACGCACTTGTTGGCCTACATTGCAGTTGCTGTTGCAGTTGCAGTTGCATAAAATGAACAACTTTTACTCTTTAGTTCTGCCTATGCCTCGGGCTCCATTTTTGCCTATGCCTGCCTTTTCCTATGCCTCTTGCTCTGATCTACTCTCTACTCTCTACTCTCTACTCTCTACTCTCTACTCTCTACTCTCTACTCTCTACTCTCTACTCTCTACTCTCTACTCTCTACTCTCTACTCTCTACTCTCTACTCTCTACTCTCTACTCTCTACTCTCTACTCTCTACTCTCTACTCTACTCTCTACTCTCTACCTCTCTACTCTCTACTCTCTACTCTCTACTCTCTACTCTCTACTCTCTACTCTCGTAACTCTCTACTCTCTACTTACTCTCTATCTCTACTCTCTACTCTCTATCTCTACTCTCTACTCTTACTCTCTACTCTCTACTCTCTACTCTAACTCTCTACTCTCTACTCTCTACTCTCTACTCTCTACTCTCTACTCTCTACTCTCTCTCTCTACTCTCTACTCTCCTACTCTCTACCTCTCTACTCTCTACTCTCTACTCTCTACTCTCTAACTCTCTACTCTCTACTCTACTACGCTCTACTCTCTACTCTCTACTCTCTACCTCTCTCCTCTCTACTCTCTACTCTATACTCTCTACTCTCTACTCTCTACTCTTCTACTCTCTACTCTCTACTCTCTACTTCTCTACTCTCTACTCTCTACTCTCTAATCTCTACTCTCTTACTCTCTACTCTCTACTCTCTACTCTCTACTCTCTCTCTACTCTCTCTCTACTCCCTCTCTACTCTCTCTACTCTCTACTCTCTCTACTCTCTACTCTCTCTCTCTCTCTCTCTCTCTCTACTCTCTCTCTACTCTCCCTCTCTACTCTCCCTCTCATCTCTCCTCATTCTCTTTCTGCTGATTCTCCTTGCTCTCCTGAATCTCCGCTCTCTTCTTTCTCGCCGCTCCTCATTAATGTCTCCAATGTCTCCACTACCTGCCCTCTTGCCACACTCCGCTCTGACTCTGTTACCTTTCTATAGTTTGCATTGCCCCATATCAAAGCGCAAAGACGTCAGCATCTGCAGCAGCTACAAACGCATTTCGATATTCTATTTTTTAGCCAATTGCATTCGGCAACAATGCGGAAGTCAATTCAAGCAAATGCTTCAATATCTAGCCATTATATAGCCACAGCCACAACTATAGCCATAGCCATTACCATAGTCGTCGATAGAAGTAAAACTTTCCGTTGGCCACACGCAGATAAAAGGAACTCAAAAAAAACGCATTTCAGCATTCGGTCCGTGGCTGTGGATGATCTCATTTTCAATTGCAGAAAACTCATATTCATTTCACATAAATATATATATATATACTATATATAGAGTGTGTATATACAGTAGTCACAAAGTCACTTGTCAACCGGCGTAGCACGGAGATAACATGGTTAGCTTCATACTTTTTGTTAATCAAACGCACACTGAAGCACAGTTATATGCATATATATATATATATGTATATATACTTTGTATATATAATTCATAAATTGGACAAATATCTTTGGCATGCTGCCCGCCCACACACAGACACTTGAAGAAATGTTGCTTCAATTTTCTTTTTATTATTCTTATTAACGCTCAGCTGCTCGTCAGTTAGCGAAATTATCTGTTCCATAAAAATTTGTTATCTAAAACAACATTTTTATACATTTAATCACACATATATATAAATATATATATAAATTTATATATACATTTGAGAAACTTTTTATTTGTTCACGAATAACGCGACGCGCCGCACATTTTCACGGTTGCACAAGCCCAAGGAGACTGAGACTGAAAATACACGAGCGCCGTGGCAATGCGTTCGACCACAAGCAACAACAGCAACAACAACAACAGCAACAACAAGCAGCAGCAGCGACGCTGACGACGACTACAAAGCG